TAGGGGGCCCTGGCCCGCCGCCCCCCCCCCCCCCCAACACCTCCATTAATGCAGGAAAAGTGTTAGGAGACGAAAAGCCCGGCTGCTTGTAGAGAGAAGGCAAGCATCATCCCTTTCAGGCCTCTGTAGAAAAAAAATCACACAGGAAAATGACACAAATTTGTAATATTTATATATATATAGATATATATACTTTTTCAATCAAAACACAATTAAATATGGTCTTAAGTACAGGAATACTTGGGCATGAGACAATAAGGTGGTGGTACACAGTACCCAAAAACTGATCCCCAACTCTTGGTCTCTGGCAGACCAATGCCGACTGCCTCACTAGGATCCAGTATTGCCAACAGGGTGGGCGGCTGCTTTGTCCCTCAAGACTTGTGAAATGCCGGAGAGAAATCAAGAGCAATACTACAGGCGGTTTGGGGTGGGGTGGTTTATTTCAATTTTTTTTTTGCATGTCTTCAAAAAAAAACAAACGCAAACAGGCATTTTTAAAAATCCTCCAAACGGGGGAGGGGGGGGAAGGTTTCAAAGAGAAATGAAAGCGCAAGAGAGAAAACGCGGAGTGGACTCCCTCCTGGAGTGCTCTGGACCCTCCGGTTAATCGCCTTTCCCACTGCAGGGGCTGGACAAGGGGAAAGGCTGCTTCAAGTAGGGTGGGGAAATTACCATCAGTCCCAAAAGGCTGCAAGTTGTCCTATGGGAGGCAGCCGCTCGATGCTTTAAAAACGGCAATTAAAAAAAAAAAACAACGCCTGGGAACAGGTATCGTTCCGGCTCAACAGGAGCAAAGGCAAGGCGCAAAAAAAAAAAAAAAAAAAAAGCCCCCCGGGGGGGGCAGAGAGAGAAATTTCCCTCCTCCCTGCATTTCAGCCCCTTCTGGCATCTGCCCATCACTGGATGAGTCCACTGGGAAACGGCACGTTTCGAAAGCCAGGAGTGAGCAAGACTTCGACACGGGCAGAAGTTCGGTTAATTGCCAGGCGCTTGCAGCCAACTCCTTTGGAGACCAGCACAACCCTGGGAAAAGTCCAGTCTGCGTGAGAGTTCTGAACACTTCAAGTAAGCAGAGACCCAAAACGGCTCCCGGATTTTCAGGACCACACACTGCCAACTGCTCCGCCCTCTCTGGCGGATTAAGGTGCCCTGTGCTCTTCCGGAGGCAGGTTTCCTTTAAAAACCTAAGGTTGTCATAGCTAGGAACCAATGGGGAAAGGGGGGGAACCCCTCTGCTCCCCGGCGGAGACCAAGCTCCTGGTCCAACTCTTTGAAAACCAAGAAGAATCCTTCATCGATGGAGCTGGGGGGGTCTTTGGCCGGCGGTGTGTTTCTTCATTTGGGAAAAATGCCACGTGTACACGGGGAGGGGAAGCAAATGCGAGGCGAGGGAGGGCGGGGGGGGGGGGGGGGGGCTCCCCTCTGTACAATGTTTCTTCTATAGAAGAGGGAGGGCAAGAAATACATTGGCTGTTCCAAGGTAACAGTGCTTGGTTTCCATTGGCCGTGGAAAAAGAGGAGTCAACCAACTGGAGCGAGGAGGAGGTGGGTGAGAAACACAAGCCCACCTCGCCAGAAGTAGACATTTCCCTCTCGCTTGGGGATTCTGAAGATCATCATAGCTAGAAAAAGAAGAAGAGAAGAGATTGGGTTTATACCCCATGGCCCTTCACTACCCAAGGGAGTCTTAGAGCGGCTCACAAACTCCTTTCCCTTCCCCTCCCCACAACAGACACCTGGAGAGGTGGATGGGGCTGAGAGAGCTCTGATAGAAACGGCTCTTTTTCAAGGACAGCTCTTGTCAGAACTATGGCTTCCACAAGGTCATCCAGCAGGTGCAAGTGGAGGAGCGGGGAATCAAACCCGGTTCTCCCAGATTAGAGTCCGCGCACTTAACTTGAGAGCGAAGAGGGGCACTGGCCGGCACCAAGATGGCCAGAAGAAAAGCACAGGGAGGGGGACGACTTCCCGTTTTGCTCCCCGGTGGGCAGCAGGTTGAAGGGGGCTGTGTGTGAACAGATTCACTTCTGGCAAAATACCCCGGAGTGCCGCTTGTGTGCCAAGGCACTCATTTTTGGCCAACTGGCTCCTGGGGTTCTCCCCAAGCCTGCATCTGGGCAGAGAAATGCATCCCAGTGTTCTTCAGCATCATTCGCAAGCTCAAGGCACCGTCTGGAAACAAGCCTCTCCAAAAAGAGGCACGAGAAGGGCTCAGATAATCTTCTAATGCCACGTTGGAAAACTTCTTTGCCCGCAAAGTGTGTGTGTGTGTGTGTGTGTTGGTGGGGGAGACACAGGTGACCCACGCACACACTCTAAACTATACTATAACCTCCCTTGCCTCCCCCGTTCCTGCTGCTTACAGAATTCTAGGATCATAAAGAAGCGGAAAATTTTTCAGGGCACCCTGGGTTCTGGCCCCTGTGTGACGCAGAGTACTGGACTGGATGGGCCACTGGCCTGACCCAGCATGGCTTCTCTGATGTTCTTATGTCGATCCGCTTTTCTTTACCCCATTCACCTCCAGGGTGCCACAAGCAGATGGCCGCGCAAACCTTTCCGTGCCTGCAGAACCGAGAGCTCCGGCCAGGCGTCACCCCAGTGCCACTGGTCAATCAGGCCCCTCTGTAAACCTGCCCCCTCAGTGGGTGGCTCTCTGGCCGGCTGCCGCAGGGATGCAGCGCCCCCCTCCAATGTTCCCTCTAAGCTGTTGAGTCTTGTGAGCAAAAATTCTACTCTGTGAGCTACCGGCATTAACGTTGTGACTGAGCAATTTGGCCGCTGCATAAATTAGTGAGCCATCCTTCCTGAGTGGAGACATAAATGTGTGAGCTGGAAGCTAAAAAACTGTGAGCTAGCTCATACCAACTCAGCTTAGGGGGAGCACTGCCCCCCCCCACTCCCATTACCTTGGTGACCTGTTCCACGGCCGGGCCGGGGCGGGCCTGCTGCATGACGTCGTTGACGATCATCTTTGCTATTCTCCAGGCCATCTCTTCTTGGGCCTAAGGCAGACAAGGGGCCATCAGCAGAGGCGGCCGTCAAGCGCCAACAGGCCAGCCAGAGGCGGGCGGGGGAGGGAGGGGGGGGAGGGAAGAGACACAGAGCCACAGCTGCCCACTGGCTGCAGCCTTCACACACCGGCCAGCCACTCCGGCCTCCACACCCCTGCAAAGAAGCATCCGAACTCATGGAGCAGAATTAGGGTCTCAGTGATGGCCATCTTGTTGGCAAAACTGACTCCACCTATGGGGCCTGGGTGCCCTGGATGGCCCGGAGCCTTCTGGCTCACGTAAAACGTGGCTCAGAGTCCAGCTCAAGCCCTCTTTGGCTTCTGGACTGCAGGCGTCAGCAGGCAGCCTACCTCGTCCGTGTTTCCTTGCACCCATTTCTTCATCGCTTGTGAAAACATGGACCCTGGAGGGAGGGGAGAGAGAAAGGTCCATGTTAGCCAAGGACCACCGCTTGGGGGACCAGCGGCGCGATCTTCTGGGCTAACCAGAGAAGGGTTCTGACGGCCATTAACGTGCACGGCTCGAGAGGGAAGGGACCCTGCAGTTCCAGTGGAGGATGAGAAGCCTGCCGCCAAAGACTGCGGCTTCTGACTTCTGTCGAGAGCACCAGTGTCAGCCCTGCTCGCTCCGCCTTTCCCTGGCAACGTGCCCCTCTCTCCGCCCAGGCCCCCCTCGCCCCTGCCCTGCTGAGCATTCTGTGCAGGCGGCCTCCTTTCCGAGGCCCTGTGCCTGTCTAGGAGCAGAGCTCCCCTGCCCTTCTGTGGCATGAGGGGCACCTCAGCCCCTCACTCCGTGCCAGACTTCCTCCCTGCCACCACCAACCAATGCCCTTGGCATGTTGCCATGAGGGCAGCCTTATCAGCCACAAGACCCAGTCGCAAAGCCTCCTTGCTTAGGGGCAGTCTATCAGGTGTTTGGGACTAACAGAACCCTGCTCGCACCTGCACCTGGCGGGGAGCTGTTTGGCTGTCCGCACCTAGCCTGGCAGCTCTTTGCCGAGCACGGCTGTGAGACGACCTCCTGCCTCCCATTTCACACCCTGCCCTGAGCAATCTGCCGGCTCTTCCAAGCACCCTTTCTACCACCCCCACCATCCCCCGCTACTGAGTGGAGTGGCCTGACTGTGGTCAGGCGTGGAGGCCTTTTCTGACAGGGTGAGGGTGGACAGGGCTTGAGGCAGGGGAGACCGGGACGGAATCCCACTTGGACAGGTGGTCCCGACTCCTCGGTGAGCGCTCAGGGTGGGGTGGGGGGGGAAGCCAACCTTTGGACTTCTTGACGTTGGGCTCCGGTTCGGACTCTCTGATGAACTGGCCCAGGTTGCTGACTCGCCCAAAGGACATCTTCCTGCAGTGAGGAGTCCGCAGATAAAGAGGCCACCACAGAAAACAGACCACCCCGCACAGGAGGGGGAGCGCTCAGTAAGGAGCTTCACATCTGGAAGTTCCCCCTCCAGCTTTTCAGAAGCTTGCAGAACACTTGGGGGGGGGGGATATTTCTACAGCAGCCACATGACAAAAATCCCTCCAAGGGCCACTTCACATTATGATTTACCCAAAGGAGATGCATCAGCGGAGAGAAGCCACTTGAAAGGGTCGGTTAAACTCAGCCTTTCCTGCAACTCGTCCTATCAGACCCTCTTCCTCCCCCCCCCTTCTCCTCTACTAGCTCCGTGGAGTGGATAAATGGTACCAGGGTTACCCCTCCCCTCTCTGCATCTCTCCGTCTCCCACTGCCTGCCTGGGCACCAGCCAGGTCCCTCCCCTCTCCCATTTCTGATCTGTTCCTTCGTTCCTCCTCACTCCGATCCTCTGCTCCTCCGAGCCTTTTGCTCTCCCAGCGATTTCACACACTGAGGAAACCTCTGAACCCAGGGAGAGAAGGAGCAATGCTGGCATCTCCACTCCGCACGGCCTTCTGGCCCCAGAGACGTTTGCACTAAGCTGGGAAGGGGGACGACACCCTATCTGGAACTCCCCCAGGGGTCACACACAGGGAAGGAGGGAGGGCCTTATGCTGTACAGCCACAAGTCTAGAGTTGGGTTTCATACCCCACGTTTCTCTACCCCAAGGCGTCTCAGAGCGGCTTACAATCACCTCCCCCTCCTCCCCCCACCAACAGGCGCCTTGTGAGGCAGGTGGGGCAGAGAGAGTCCTGAGAGGACTGGGACTGACCCAAGGTCACCCGGCAGGCTTCATGGGGAGGAGGAGTGGGGAATCGAACCCAGTTCTCCAGATTAGAATCCACTGCTCATCACCGTGACACCACACTGGCTGGCCCCACGGCAGACACCCTGTGAGGCAGGCGGGGTGGAGAGAGTCCTGAGAGGACTGGGACTGGCTCGAGGTTACCCGGCAGGCTTTGCGGGGAGGAGTGAGGAAGCAAAACCAGCTCTCCGGATTAGAGTCCACCACTCTTAAGCTGGCTCTCCATCATACACTCCACTCACTACACTACCCCACACTTGCTCTCTCTGGGTGCTGGGAAGACCAGTGGAGCTTGGGGCCCCCTGAGGGAAGTGACCGAGACACCAAAGGGACCCAAACCCTCTTGCCTTGGAGCCCCCCAGCCCAAGTCCCAAGACTGCTGGGGACTGCAAAAGATGTTTCACTGTGCCACCCGCTTGCACCGCTCTCCGGAGGAACCTTACCCGGCGTAGGTCCGTTGATACAAGGACTCCGGATCCAGGCTTGCCGCGTCTACAATTATTGCTTCATCAAAGTTTTTCAGGATTTTTATGTTAGCCGTTTTGAGATTGGGCTGTAACAGAAATTCCAGATCCGGGGGATCAGGCGGAGGAGGAGCAAGAGGGGAGAGGACCTGAAGGCAGCAGACGTTCCGTGTGGTCCGCCCGTGAGCAGCAGACCAATGGCTGGGGGACGTCTGCTCAGGTGGATGCCACTGGTCACCTGCTGGCAGAAGGCTCTTTGGCCAGCCTTGCCGCCAGAGACACACGCTGCAGCGGGCAACCCTCCGGCCCACCCAAACAGAGCACAGGCCCTTCCGGTCTCCATGATGCGAGCTCCGGGGTGGGATTTTCCAGTGGTGGGGGGCTGGCGCGGCCAGACTGCAGACTCTCTGCCTGTCCCTGGGCTGGATCCGGACTGAATTTTCTATCGGCACAACAGCAGGTTCCTGCCTTTCCCATCCTGAACGCCATTAAATGACGCTCCTGGGGGGACAAGGGACCCGGAAGGACTATGGGGGGGGGGTGACAACAGGAAGTGGAGTGGATGGGGGTGGCCGGTGAAGCCAGGACCCAGCCACGTGTTTCGCGTGACTGGAGAAGCAGAGCAGCTGGCCAAGAGGAGAATCCCAACTGAAGTTCTATCCAGTGACCCCTGACGGCTCTCCGGGGGTCCCTGAACCATCACTCTGTGCCGGGGGTGCCCGAGGGCGCCATAGTTCCCGCTGCCACCTTTCCTGGTACCCACGAAGGGCTTTTAGGCAGGGGGTTTTTTTTGTAGCAGGAACTCCTTTGCCTATTAGGCGACACCCCCCCTAATGTAGCCAATCCCCCAAGAGCTTACAGAGCTCTTCTTACAGGGGCTACTGTAAGCTCTTGGAGAATTGGCTACATTAGGGGTGTGTCGCCTAATAGGCAAAGGAGTTCCTGCTACAAAAAGAGCCCTGCTAGACAGTGGGTGGGGCCAGCAAGGCTTCGGATTGGCTTTGCAGATCTTTAAAAAATGATGTTTTTCAGCAGCCAGGCCTCTGATTGGCCACTGAAGGGCTGAACAGCTGGGCAGATTTTAAAAAAATGTTGCTTTGGCAGCAGCTGCCAACACGGCACAAGGATCTTCACCGTGTGGCTGAAGAAAAGCCGCTGGAGCTATTTTGTGGCCGGCTCCACCCCGAGGCCGCTGCTTTGTGGCTGCGCCCACCACCCTGTGTCAGAATCCGCCATGTGCCTGCTGGCTCAAAAAAGCGGGGGACCCCGCCGCCAATGAGCCCCCCCCCATGAGCCACAGTCTCCTTGCTTCTCCCCCTTCCACTTCACCTCTGCCCTCCAAGATCTTCCACCGACAGGAATGTGAGCCAAAGCAACTAACCATGGTGGAGGAGGAGAAGAAGAGGTTGGATTTATACCCCGCCCTTCACTCAGAGTCTCAGAGCGGCTCACAGACTCCTTCCCCTCCCCCTCCCCACAACAGACACCCTGTGAGGTAGGTGGGGCCGAGAGAGCTCTTTCGAGGACTGCTCTTTTTCAAGGACAGCTCTGACAGAACTATGGCTTGCCCAAGGTCATCTGGCAGCTGCAAGTGGAGGAGTGGGCAATCAAGCCCGGTTCTCCCAGATCAGAGTCCGCGCACTTCACCACTACACCAAACTGGAGGAGGAAGAGGAAGGGCTAGCTCTGAAAGAAGAACCCATCGGGCCAAGTGACCCCGAGCCATCTTGTACCATGAGACCGAGGGAGGGGCCACGCACCTGGGAAGAAGAAGAAGTGCTGTCCATGGAACCGGAGTGAGAGTCACTGTATGGGGTGCTGCCGGGGCCATGAGCAGCTGGTGCGATGCCTCCGCCTGCAGACTCGTCTCGGACCGAGTTGATGAGGTCATTCAAGTATTTGTAGTAAAGGTTGCTGGACAGGAAGCCGGGCAGGAACACCTGGAAAGAGGCCGGGGGGAGAAATGGGGCACGGAGGCACCACGGGGCTGCCTGCAGAGCTCCAGCACGGGGGCAGCAGGTGGAGTGCGGGCCCAGGACCGGGGAGGCCAACTCCGTACCTTCTCCATGGTTGTCCAGGCTTGCCGCAATGGAGTGGTGAAGCAGTTGGGGAGAGGCCCGCCTTCCCTGCAGATATTGGATTCTATTTCCAGTCGTACGGAGTCATCGAAACCAAGGGGGTGGGTGGCCTGGAGGGAGAAGTATCTGCAGCAGCACAGAGGAAGGGGGTTGGGGGGGGAGAGACACACACAGAAGTCAGAAGCAGGCCCAGAGAGACCAAGCCTGGCCCCCTCCGGTTGCCTTCATCAAACTCTCGGGGTGGGGGTGTTGTGTCACTCAGACTGAGGGGACAGGAGGAGGAGGACTAGGTCTTCCCGCCGCCTACCCCACCAGCAACGTCTCTCTCAGAAGAGCTTCACAGAGGCGCTGACAAATCTAAACATCCCTGCTTCTTTTTTTCCTCCTGTTTGCCCCATTATCCCTTTGGCCCTAGGGTCTTAACCAGGCTGTAAAGGCAACGGACTTGCCCCCTAAAACGACAGACACATGCTGATGTTCTCGGGCAGCTGGATCAGTGCCCTGTCCCAATCTCAGGTTAGCAGTCCTGGTTTCGCCGCAAGGAATGCTGGGAACGGTGGCTCTTGGGAGGAATAGCTCTCAAAAAACTCCCAGCGTCCCCAGTCAAAGGACTGTAACTCCCATGGTTCTTTGGAGGAAGGGAAAGGTCTAAAGAGGTAGGGTACCAATGATCCAAACACACATTTTAAGAGAGGAATCAGAATTCAGGCACGCCTGTTAAAACCGGCTGTTGATCCGGAGGAAGCAGGACCACTCTGGGGCAGGGGCACAACTCCCCGCCCATTTTTAAAAAATGCAACGAAGCTCCTTGCTTTGTCACTCAATGGTTCTTTAGAAAAAGCTCCAGGGCAGATGTAGTCAAGCCCCTCTAGCTCCCAAGCCCTGCGTGTAACGGACACTTCTAAAAAGGGAGAAGGCAAAAGGAAGAGGGGAGGCAGACTTCTCAGGGCAACGTGATGTTCAGGGTGGCCTCTGCTCCCCATCAACTCCAGAGGTCACTTCCTGCAGGAGCGCACGGCCCCCTGCTCCCAGCAGCCCTCAGTCGGGACACGAGGAGCAAGAAAGCACCCAGGGAAGTTGGGAGCCCCCCCCCCCCCCCCGGGCCGCCTTCAGGTACAAGCTCTCCCTCCTCTGTGAGGACATCTGCATGTTCCCCGCCCCCAATAGCTAGCAATCCAAAACTGTCCAGTGGAGCCTGAGCGGTGGGTGTTGCCTTCTGACACACTTCCGGTGATGTCAGGGGGTGTTATGCTAATGAGTTATGCTAATGAGCTCCTGCACCTCTTTTTCTACGGAATGACCCCTGCTCAACTCTATCACTGAATCAACGCCATACATCTGGCTGGCTTTGGGCACTTGACACACACGGCAGCTCTGAGGAACCACCAATGAAACGGGCCAGTGCAGTGATCCTCCCACCCACACGGCCCAGGGACTCCTCTTCCCACTCTCTGCAGGCACAGCTGGGAAGGGCGGGTGCTGCTTCCGCCTTACAGGGACGTATTCGCAGGCAGCTGAATCAGTGCCCTGTCCCAGGCTCAGGTCAGCAGTCCTGGTTTCACCCCAAGGAATGGCGGGAACCGTGGTTCTTGAAAGAAATAAGAGCTCCCAGAAAACTCTCAGCATCCCCATTCAAAGGATTGTAACACCCAGAAGAAGAGTTGGTTTTTATACCCCACCCTTCACTACCTGAAGGAGTCTCAGAGAGGCTTACAATCGCCTTCCCTTCCTCTCCCCACAACAGACATCCTGTGGGGTAGGTGAGGCTGAGAGAGCTCTGAGAGAACTGGGACTGGCCCAAGGTCACCCAGCTGGCTGCACGTGGAGGAGTGGGGAATCAAAAGTGGTTCTCTAGATGAGAGTCTGTCGCTCTTGGCCACTACACCAAACTGGCTCTGGTCCCGCCTGTCAAAGAGAGTCCCTCTGCCTGCCCAACCCGGGCTAGGAGTTCTCTTCGCCAAGAGGCTGGCTAGCTACAATTACAACGGGGGTCAAAGGCACCTGTATACCTTTAACCAGGTAGTGCTGCCACCAGTCTTTTTGTGTCTCTCCAGTCAAGAGCCCAAGGACAGACTCTTGACCTTACTGGGCTGAACTAGGGAATCCTCTCTGCGAGGTTGGCTCACAGCAGGAGACCCACACATTATTCTGGAGGTAGTAACTGTCAGTCTTAGGCACCAGATAACTTACTGCGGCAGTGGAGACAGAAACCAGAATTGGTGAATGAAATATATATACTTAAGTGCAGAGTATTTATTACAAGAGGTGCAAATTACTTAAAGTCATAATGTGGGGAATAAAACAGGAAAGCTAAAGATGAATACACCAGAGCCTTGCTTCTCAAAGACAAGATGTCACCCATTCAGTTCTGGGTCCAAATGTACTCCGTCTCCAGAGTCCCAAGAGTCAGGCTGGTTGGCTTCAGCAGCCAGAGATTCCAAGGTGGCCGAAAGATGAACAAGACAGAGTTACACGTCAGCTTCGCATGCAACACCATCGTGCCCCCCGAATAGGAGTGAAGGTAACTTAAAGCTTGCTGCGAGCAGGACTAGATCCTTTTCAATGGCGGCCCCTACCTGGTGGAACGAGCTCCCGGAGGAGATCAGGGCCCTGCGGAACCTTATGCAGTTCCACAGGGCCTGCAGGACGGAGCTCTTCTGCCAGGCTTTTGCATAGGGGCTGCCGCTGCCACCACCACCAATGGTAGCGATACCATCGGGATTAGGAATCGCCCTTGGAAGTTCCGCCATAAATTGCATGGCACTGACAATGTGGGATTGGCTCGAACTATCTGCTGGACAGTGCCACCCCAATGGGGAGGATTGAGGACGCCGTCAAAACCACTCAAGACCGCCTTGTTTACAGAAAGCACTTTATTATTGTTATTGTTATTAGTATTCATGATTTTACTGTTTTATCTGGTTTTATGTATGGGCTCATGCCCCTTGTAAGCCGCCCTGAGCCCGCTCGCAGGGAGGGCGGGGTAAAAATGCCAAAATAAATAAATAAATAATTTATTGTCTGAACCCCAGACTGGGTGCTAGGCCTGGGGCACCAATCAGGGTTCAAGCAATGTCTTCCAGATACAAGGAGGCCAATCAAGGAAAGGGTGATATCACTGGTTTCTGATTGGTCTCTCTGGTCATGTCAGAAGAGCAGGTGATGTGATCTGCAGTTTCGCAGCACCAGTTCCTTCCCACAGGACTTAATTGCTTTGGGATGTTAACAAGCCGAGGCCGCGGAAGAACACCTTATCTTGCAGGTGCAGAGATAGGCACTCTTCCCCGGCACGTCTGTGTGAACTAGGGAGACTGAAGAGCAACATTTTTAACGAGAAGCAGGCCACTGCCCGGTTGAACCAAACATTTAAAGCAGACTCCATTTTGAGTGAGCCAAAGTTCCTGACACCGCCTTACGGGGAAGTCGGGGTCAGGGCCCAGGTCCAGTGTTCCCTCTAAGCTGAGTTAGCGTGAGCTAGCTCACGGTTTCTTAGCCTCCGGCTTACAGATTTTTGTCTTGGCTCAGGAAGGATGGCTCCGGAGCAAACTCATTTATGCATTCGCCAAATTGCTCTCTCACAACTTTAATGCCAGCGGCTCACAAAGTAGAATTTTTGCTCACAAGACTCCACAGCTTAGAGGGAGCATTACCCAGGTCTGCAGGCAGCTCCATTTCATCCCTCCCTATGGAGGTCGGGGAAGTAAAAACAAGCTCCCCCTCCCCCCCAACCTTCTCTCACAACTTAAATAAAAGGACAAGCTGAGCTAGTTGTGAAGTTTCTGACTGCTCCCCTTTCAATTCTTTCACGTGCAACTGACAAAGGGAGTTGTGGCTCTCGGGAGCTTCCACCCAGGAACTCCCGTTGGTCTCCACGCTGCTCCCGGACTTGGATCTAACGGTTCTGTACACCGTGCTGGCAATTCACTGAAGCGCTGATTCCCTGCCGTCCACTGGGCTAAGATGTCAGGGTGCCGCACGGCAGGTGTTGAGCACGGATGAGGGTGGGGGTGGGGGTAAAGGAAGAGCCACTCACCTATCGTATAAAATCATGGCGTCGTTCTGTGCCTCTTGCCCATCGTACTGGCCCTTCTTGGCAGCCAGCTGAGACTGGAAGTTATCCGCCGCCAGCCAGAACTGCAAGATATTGACTGCATCTTCCTTCTCCATGTACTGGGAAGCAGAATTAGGAAGTGATTGAGAAGGTTTCTCTTTAGCGCTTCCAGAGGAGTCTAAAGAACCGGGGGGGGGGGGGGGCTTGCCAATTCCAAAGGGAGTTCCTGATTCACACAGTGTGCATGACTGACTGTGGAACTCACTGCCACAGGACAGAATGACAGCCAAGATGGCTTTTAGAGGAGACCGGACGACTTTGAGAAAGACAGCTCGGGGTGTGAACACAGAACCTCTGTGTCCGAAGGCAGCACTCCTTTGAATGGCAGTTCCTTGGGGAGGGGGAGGTTCTGGCCTTTATACTTCTGCTTCTGGGGCACCTGGCTGGGGCACTGTGGGAAACAAGACGGTAGACAGGATGGAGCCTGATCCAGCACAGTCTTGACTAAGGGCCAGGGCCACAGGGGATCGTGGAATGGCTATCAAGCGGGATCTGCGCTACTGAAGGTGGCCCTTTGCCAGAGACAGCCAGTGTGGCCCTCGGGAGGACAGCCTACCGCACAGCGCCCAGAAGTGCAGGAAATGCTGCAGAAACTGGACACCCACAGAACCCACCAGAGATGCTGCCCAACAGCTCTCAGTAGAGGTAGGGGAAGAAAAACCCCATAGGGAGGGGGAAGAAGGAGGAAATCCCCCCCCCCAAACCCTTTTCTCATCAGCGGCTTAAACCCATGACGAGAATGCTTCTACTATAAATACACCCGACGGCTCTGCAGAATCTCTCAAGCGGCTACTGCTCGGCCATGTATCTGAAATGGCTGCTTCTCAGCAGGGTTCGTTGGGTGGCAGGGATTTTGTTCTTTGCTATTTCAGGCAGTTTTCACAACTTCTCTCACAAGTCTACAAAGATCCCATGGTGGGTGCAGGGGAGGGGAGCGGAGGGTGCTAAGAAATGCAACATCGTCCCTCGCAGTGTGATCTTTGGCGCTGGGGGTTGGGGAGAGGCAGAAGCGAGTGCGCGCGCTTGAGGACCGCCGCCAATCAGTCAATCGGTGCCCTCAGGAAGAGCCCTCCCGGGGACACAGAGGCTCCCTCAGTCTTCGTCGCGTCTGCAGAATGGGAACAAGGGTTTTCTTCCTCCCTTGGGAAGGCAAGCCCACTCTGCCTGTCCCTTTCCCACTTGTACGCAGAGCAGGAAAAGGAAGGCCCTCACCTCAGAGAAGTAGAAGAGCGCTGATTCACAGAAGAGGATATCCGCCAGGTAAACGGTCCCGCTGGTCAGCACCTCGATCTGGTATTTACAGAAATGGTGGCAGCGCAGAAATTCACAAAATTACCAAAAGGTGCTGCAGGGGGGGGGGGGGGACAGAAGAGTTTTGCAAAAAGGGAGAGCCATTTGAGGGCTCCCCTTCCATGGCCCAGGCTGGCCCAATCTCATCAGGTCTCAGAAGCGAAGCAGGGCTGGCCCTGGGGTGAAGAGGCCCTTTGCCTTCTCTTTCGCAGAAGCACGTGTCCTTGGAAGGGAGACCACGAAGGAAGTCCAGGGTTGTTATGCAGAGGGGCAGGCAAGGGCAAACCGCCTCTGCTCGTCTCTTGGCTTGGAACCCCCCACAGGATTGCCATAAATCAGCTCTCACTACCACCACCACCACCACCAAGGGAGGCTGATATGAAAAGGCAGCAGAGACGGCCCACCTTGTACTCGAGGCACAGCTAAATGCCAGGATCTACACTATCAAGTGTATCCTGGAGCAGGTGCAGGAGATGGTGTATTGGTCAGGCCACACCTGGAGTGCTGTGTGCAGTTCTGGAGGCCTCACTTCAGAAAGGATGTGGACGGAATGGAGCGGGTGCAGAGGAGAGCGACGGGGATGATGGGGCCCCCGGAGACCAAGCCCTGCGAGGAAAGGCTGAGGGACTTGGGAAGGTTCAGTCTGGAGAAGAGGAGGTTGAAGGGGGACAGGATTGCTCTCTTTTAAGTATCTGAAGGGCTGCCACTTAGAGGAGGGCAGGGAGCCGCTCCTGTCGGCAGCAGAGGAGAGGACTCGCAATAATGGGTTGAAATTAAGGGCGGGAAGGCCCCGGCTGGGTATTAGGAAAAACCTTTTTACAGTAAGAGTTGTTCAGCAGTGGAATCGGCTGCCTGGGGAGGGGGTGAGCTCCCCCTCACTGGCAGGCTTTAAGCAGCGGCTGGACAAACGCTGGTCAGGGATGCTCCAGGCTGATCCTGCATTCAGCAGGGGGTTGGACAGCATGGCCTGTCTGGCCCCTTCCAACTCTGTGATTCTATGAATGGAATCCAGACCATAATCTGGACTCGGGGGGGGGGGATTACTAAACAGGCAGGCAGTCTTAGCGGGAACAGGTCAGAGTGAGTCATGTGATATTGCCTGATTGCCCCTAATAACGCTCCCCAACCCCAAGGGGTTCAACTTACTCTTGTTCCATAGCATTAAACACTATCAACTGTGCCATGACGAAGCAGTTGGGGTCCACCTGTCCGTCTTCCCCACAAATCTTTGCTGTAAAGGTGCCAGATCAAATGATACAGTTAGCACAAAGATGCCTTCAAATCAATAAGCAGCAGCAACTTATGGGAAGAAGAAAAAACAAACTGTGGCTGCTCTGAAAGGGGAGAAGTGGAAAGAGAACAGGATTCCCTGAGGGCAAAGTGCAGACCTCAAACTCCTCAAAATCCACCCGATGATCATGGCTTTCCCCAGAGAATTCCGGGGGGGGGGGGGACACATCTGCTGCCCTGGTATTGCTGTCTGCCACCATCCCAAAAGGGCAACAGAGGAAATCCCGGGAAGGTGTGTGCGCGACATTTTGTGCACTTGGACAAGCTGGCTCTCCCCGCTTACCCACAATGTCGCTCCTCATCATCTCTGTAATCGGTATTGGTTTAGCAGCATCTGGAGAAATATATTTGGTAAAAATAGTAACTGCATCCTGCTCTATACCTAGAAAGAGAGAGAGAGAAGTGGAGACGTGAATGCTGAGCCCAGCTAGGCGGCATGATAAGAAACGAGAAACAAATGTGCCAGTGACCAGTTTTTTAGAAAGGAAATCACCTGAGCCAGCAACCCCCGAGGGGAGGAAGTGCTTGTGGGCGGAAGGACCGCAAATCCCCAAGAGGATTTGGTGATTCTTGAATGGCAGCCCCACCCTCCTCCTGCCGGCATGACAGACGGCTTCTGAAAGTGAAGGGCCTCTCAAGGGCGGTTGGTGAGCTCCTTCCATGCCCCAATCAAGCCCCGGTATGGGTGGCTGAAGAGAAAACACATCCCCCCCCCGCTCTGTTACCCTCCTTTCCATCTTCCTGCCCACACTCTGGATCACATGTTACACTCCATGCCCCTTGGGGCAGGAATTATGATTATTTTTTCTTGTTACTCTACAGCAGTGCCCCATGTACACTGGCGAGCCGACAGAAATCCCAGGAAATGGAGGGGGGGAGCGGCTGTTGAGAGAGAAGGGTCCGATCCCCAGGATGCACCTCTTTATCGCTCATGTACTGGGAAGGTGATGAAGAACGGGACAGAGACAAAAAGCCACCAACGTGGAATCGCTAGAAGCAGGACAGAGAGGGCCTGGTTCGAGCAGCACTTTACAAATGAGCTGTAGCTCTTGAAATTGAAAAGAAAAATGGGAAGAAGAGCTAAGAAGAGCTCACTTCACACAGCCTTGCAACACCGCCTCTGATCTATATTGCAAGAATCCTGTTACATGAGCTGGGAAAATGCACTTTGTCTTCTCTTCCGTGTAAACACAGGGCCTTTCAGGCTGCACAAGGCAGCCTCCCCCTCTTCATGGAACCCCACGCCCTCCATTTGGCCCTAGGATCAGAAGAGCCCTAAAACAGAGCCTAAATGAGCAGCCTCAGAGGACCTTAACCAGATAAGGGCATTCAAGCTGCAGACACCACACTAAGAGTGTGCGCACACACACAAAAAAAATCTCAGCATTTTTCAGGTGTGGGTATATTGAACCTGAAAAATATCGGTATTTCCCAATATTACCAAATCCCACATATCGGTATGGTATTGGAATTCAGGAAATATTCAGGATTGCCGGATTATTTTTTTTTGGCTCCATTATACACTATGGGGACCATTACAGTCAATGGTCCCCATAGGCGATAGTGGAGAATCGAGCTGGGGGTATCTGGGGCAGCTGTTTTTTGAGGTAGAGGCACCAAATTTGCAGCATAGCTGCTGGTGCCTCTCCTCAACTCCCGCTCTTCAAGTGTCAAAAAGATGGGAGCAGGGGTCCAATTCGATGAGCCCCAGAAGGTGCCCTCCATTGTTTCCAATGGAGGGGGGAACGGCACTTAAAAGGAATGTTGTCCCTTTAAATGCCTTTTGCAAGCTGCATTGTGAGTGAACTCCGAAGCAGCGAAACAAAGTTTGAGTCCAGTGGCACCTTTAAGTGGCACCCGGAAGCATAGTTCCCTCTAAGCTTCACTAGGGGGTGCTGGTGCACAGCATTTTAACAGGCAGCTCAGGGAATTTCTGCTTCAGCCCATACTGTTTCAGCCCATTGTAACAAAGGACGATGGGGGGGGGGTACCTCCTTCTGGGGCTCATAGAATTGGACTCCATGGTCCAATCTTTTTGAAACTTGGGTAAGTTTTTGAGGAGAGGCACCAGCAGCTATTCTGCAAATTTGGTGCCTCTACCTAAAAAAAACCCAGCCTTCCTCAGAGCCCCAGATCTATTCTCCATTATAGCCTATGGGGCCCATTGACTATAATGGTCCCCATACACTACAATGAAGCGGGGGGGGGTTGCACACCCCTTTTATGCTTTTCAATATGATTTGTAAGCTGACTTGACCCACAAGGGAAAGTGGGATATAAATATCTGAAGAAATAAGTAGTTTGGGCAGCTTGATGACATTTAAGCAACTTCCCGTTTTTTAGGTTAGGCAGGATTCTGACAGTGATTGTTCCTGAAAAAGTCAGCAGTGACTCATGAAAGCTCCTACCCTGCCACATATTTTGTTAGTCTTTAAGGTGCTACTGGACTCTTGCTCTTTTCTACTGTTCCTCCTCTGTTACACTTGACCTGTAATGCTGGTTGTCATATTTCACTAAAAAAACCAAAACACACACAACCCAAAGTAGACTGCAAGAGTTTCCCCCCCCTATAAATGCTGGTATGTTTCTAAGGCTCAACACAGGATGATGGTCTGAGGCCAGGTCTACCAATATAGTGGACTAGGGCAGGTAGACCTGTTCTCCAGAGGCCAGGTCTACCAATATATTTGACTGGGGCGGGTAGACCTCTTCTCCAGAGGACAGGTCTACCAATATAGTGGAAAGGGGTGGGTGAGATTTGACCTGATTCTGTTTTCTCTTATAATGTTTAAATTATTCTTAAAATATCGTTTAAATATGAAATAATTTATTGTGAGATTTTTACAAGGTTATGGAAGTAATCTTCTAAAAAAACCTAATTTACACAATAGTCAAATGTAGACTTACTCACAACTTGCTCACGAGGTAGAATTTCCGTTCACAACACTGTGGAGTTTAGAGGGAACATTGCCCGGAAGGGGAGGTGAACTCCCCGCTTCGGAGTTCACTTGTGGTGCAGCTTGCAAAAGGCATTTAAAGGGTATTCCTTTGGCTCAGTTTATACTGAGTGCGCACCCCTACTCCATACCCATCTCTCAGATAGATTTGTCCAGTGGCTCAGTGACTTGGGAGCTACATGCGGTTCTCTGATATGCCCCCTGTGGCTGTTCTGATGCCATTCCCCAATGTGGCACCCACCACGTTTCAGCAAAGTGGCCAAGGCCATTGTCCAGTGGGGCTTGTAGTTTGCAGGTGGTTCCCACTTTGAGACACCTGCCAGCCACTAGAGGATGGTTAAGTTGTGAGTATCCCTGACCAGCAGAGAATGGGAATAAAGGGCAAAGAGGGGTGTGTGTGTGCGTGCGCGTGTGTGTAAAATCAATCAATCTGTCTGTGTCAAACAGTGACTATTTGGTATTCATTTTTTTATTTCAGTAGAAAAGAAACTATTCTGCCCAGAAACTACCAGCCCTGTTTCTGAGCATTTAAGGCAAGGATCCAAAGAACTACTCAAGGCTCAAATCAGGGGCTTGCAGTTGAAGGATTTATTTTTACTTCTGTCAATGAATTCCTGACAGTCATTTCATATCACAAATTGCTTTTGAAACTCCCCATGACACTGTGTGTGTGTGTGTTTTGTGTTGCCCTGTTTCCGTGTGTGTGTGTGTGGGGGATTGTTCAAGGCCTGCTGGGCTTACAGAACTAATAGCACGGTTCTTTGAATCCTAGCTTTTGTCTTCCAGGCAACAGCCCTTCCACATACACAGAGAACTCAGCAGAATTCCAGTTCCACTCTGAGCAGATGTAAATTCTGCAGAGCAAAAGGCACCCAGGCTGTGGAACAAGAAGTTTTGGACTGTACTCTGAAGGGATATTTGGTAATAAGCCAACATTCTCATCCATTATTATAGTAGCCAATGTATGAATTACATTTAAAAGCTGGCCCTCTCTGCAACTGAAACCACCAATTAAAGAAACAAATCCCCCGGATCACGATCCATCTCTCTGGGGAGCAAATGCGGAGGCAGGATTGCTCAGGGGGCATCCACAGCAAGGGAAAGGCTACTGGAACGAGGCCCCTGGGACCGATTTAGCAAGGCTGTTCTGAGGCCGCTCTCTTGCCCCAAGACCGGCGCGAGCAACAAGGTGCTTCCTCCAATGAGAAGAACATTTCCCATTGGTGTGACATGAGCCGAGCTCCTTTCGAAAGGCTGTGTGAGCCACTAAACCATGTCATCCCTTACCTTTCATAAGTTTTCCTGACAGGTCCTTGAGTGCAAAGGAGGGGCTGTTTCTATTGGGCACAGAGGCTTTGGAAGAGTCGTGAGGTTCATCTGGAACGGGACAGCCCTCTGCCTCAGACGTTCCAAACCCGAGACGGGGTTTGCCGCCTTCTGGGCAAAGCAGCAAACGGTCCCGAAGGCTGCACGTTCGGCCGTTCAGTTTGGCTGCGGAGGGCGTGACGGAGAAAGGCCCATCTGAGCCTGAATCCTCCAGCCGTTCGTCAAGCAACTTGGAGGGAGAAGACGCTGTGTTTTCGTGCTGTTTGACGGAAGGGGAAACCGGCTCGGCCAATGAGCTATGTTTGACAGTGTTCAGGCTGTGTGCTCTTATGCGGGACCACGTGGTCGAGTGGAAACTCTCAGCCTCCAGCCAGAATCGGACCAGATGTTCCATTCGACGCAGTTCCATGAATTGGATAAAATATGGAAGGGCAACACTGTCCCGAAGGACTTGTTCTAATGTCTTTGAAAGGCTGAATTTGGTCTCTTGAGCCTGATAGTCCAGACAGGATCGACCTGAAGGAAGAGAAAAGAAAACTGAAATTTGCCCATTGCGGGAAAAGACTCATGGTTCGATGACACGATCAGCCCCTGCGTTTCTGGCTTAGCTCGAGTGTCAGGGCTCACAAGTTATTTGTTTTTTTAAAGCTGATTCACCACCACCATCTGACAGCCAATTAACTCATTATATCTGGATGGTGGATTTATAATATATGCATTTCTATCCAACAGATAATTTGCAAGTTGCCAAAGCCCTACAAGAGGAGCCTTTTTGAGATGCAGGAAGTGTGAAATGACGAACAAGTGATTATGCAAACTCTAGCCATCGTTAACATTTCCTTTTCCCATTCCCGATTACAGGAACACACTTCACAAAATAAACAGGCCTCTCTTGCTGATTAAAGCCAGAACAATTCAAGCTGCGCTAATCTGCCAAGCAAAGCCTGCAAACATTGAAGACACACCCCGTTACCAAAAGGGGGATCCAACCAAACCAACGCAGAGAAGAGAGCGATGTTTACCAAGGTCTCCAAAGTGAGCGGCCTCCATGTGGCTGGGCTGCTTCTTAAGAGCCGCCGTGCGGCTGCTGGAGGAGTCCATGTTGGCCGAGATGGCATTGATGGCCACATGGCTTGGTCCGGCAGCCTCCAGCAACGCATTGTTTCTGGTGCTTCTCTGGGGGGAATGTACAGGTATTGCAGCTGCTGCAAGAGATGAGGAAATGGGATGTGATTTTTATCAGCACAAAAGGACCTATCCAAACACCTTTCACTCATTTAAACCCATCTGACTAAGCCTCTGAACGTGTCCTGGCTTCTAAAATATAGAACCTGGGGGAAGAGGTGCTTCCTGAGTGGAACATTTCATTGTTGATCCAGGGAGGGTCGCCACAGGTATTTTCAGGAGCTCTGTGAGGACATGTGGTGTCGCCTTACGTGGACCCAAAGCATTGATCCATCTAGCTCATATCTGCCTACTCTGACTGGCAGCTGCCCTGCAATATCTTGGGCAAAGAGACACATTTCCCAAAACTGCAAGCAGAGACCTTTCAATTGGAGAAGCTGGGGATAAGACAGAACCTGGGCCTTCTACATGCCAAGCAGATGCTCTGCAAATACTCATTTTCTGTGCAAGCTGCCCTCCCCACACCCAAGAGGTTAGGCTTCAGGATTATGTTGTCACCTCCTAGGAATAAGGGTCATTATAAAACACAAGCAAGATATTCATGTCTGTGCCGTGGGTGTGGGTGTGTGTTAAGGTCATCAAGCTGCTTCCGACTTATGGCAGCCCTATGAACTGATGGCCTCCAAAACATCCCATTGTTAACGGCCTGGCTCAGGTCGTGCAAACTGGGGGCTGTGGCTTCCTTTATGGAGTCCATCCAGCTCACGTTGATTTAGGTGCCACACTGGTATACCGCCTGTGTGCTAACGCATTCAAGGTGACTTGCAACAGAAAATACCAACTGACTTATGGAACAGATTTACACAAATGGGGTTTTAAAAGCCCGGTAAAAGGATTTTCTAAAAAGCAGAGAGTTATCGTGGGATTACAATGAAGAGGGCAGAACATTTCTCTTTTCCTTATAAATGCAACTACAAGGAAAACATCTGACCGTGCCTTGATTCAAATTTTGCTGGAAGGGGAGAGTCAGAGAACGTAAATTTGGAGGCTGGATCTGGTTGCCAGTTAGCCATTCCCGCCTCGATCCAACTGATGGAAGCTGTTCCCGCTCCAAAGTATGGTGTTGCTGGCTCTTCTACCTTTGCTTACTAAGCGGTATTCTACATAGTATGAACTCTGCTTGGTTTTCCAGGGCAGAAAGACTTTCATTAGAGAACTTGTTTCTAAGGTTTCCACGCTCCCTTCCTCAATGCAAAGCACTATGGGAAATCCAGGGTTCCTCTTTTCAGAATGTGGCAAATAGAGAAGGAACTGTGGCAGCTTTAGCCTCACTGCAATGGTCACGCAGAGCAAGGTTCGCCAGGTGAGAGTAAACAACTGCTATTCCAAGAGGCAGGCACCAGGGCACTCAGTGTACACAATCCTTCACTGAGGCCAGAACAGTTAAAAGATCAACAACATAACTGTGTTTTAATGAGTAGAAAATACTGAGTCATTAAGGCTGCACTAATCAGATTATTACAAGTGCGGAGCCCACAAGGACATGTGGGGTCACTTCATTTCCCCCATATCCCCTTCCCCACACGTTCTCTCCCCCTGGAAGCCCCGTATCTTCTCCCACCTTGCCCTGCTTCTCCTTCCCACTCACCAACAACAACCCTTTCCCACCAACTGGCCAAGTCACACACATTTTGTAGAGGCTACCACTGGGCCTGAGAAAGTTGCGTGGCATCAGATCTTAGCCAACACTACACTTGGGTGAGTTGTGCAAACTGCATGGTAGCAAGTTGCCCAGTGGTTGCTCTTGGGATGGCTCCACTGAGTCCTCTATCCAGGGCAGGGGTGGACTGGAAGACTAAAACAGCCCTAGAATGGGCCCTCCCCCTGGGTTTTATGGACAGAAACCAAGGTTTGAAGGCTGGCAATGCTGTTATGGTTGCCTGGCAACCCTCACAATGGCCACTGAGATCTCAGAGGACACAAATTTCTTAAAGGCACTGCTTCTATTTATTTTATTTAGAATATCTAAGCCTCCTCTTTAGAGTCCTGCTTGAGGTGCCTTACAATGAAAAACCACACTGTTAAAACACAAGCAACTTTTAAAAAATCCATAAACAGTAGACCATTAAAAGTTGATAAGCCTGGGTAAAAAGATGTGTTTTAGATCACTCAATCTCTCTCAAAGTTTTCTGCAAACCAAGGACTTTCTTTCTCAGGTCTGGAGAAAGATCTCTTGTCTGTTCATGGCTCCAGTCTCTAGACTTCAGTATCCACAGACTGGGCCGTATTGAGAATTAGATATGTTGATGATGACAAGCAATTATAGCACAAATGACATTATTCACTTCAGCTGGTTTTCTCCTCCGAGTCCTGAAAGCAAAAACTACAAATGGTAGTAGGAAAATGCCCCTTTCCCTCCACGTACACTACTAGCAGAAAGCAAAAAAAGGCTTGGCAAATGACACAACCTCAGTGAAAGGTACTGTGCAGATAGAGAGCCTGGGTAACTTCCCAATTTTGGCTACACCTTTGAGGATCACAAACACTTCATAGAGGGACTGATGCCAACTCCTCTCAAAACGACAGGAACTTCTGTGCTGGAAAGCAGAAGAAATGTAAGCCCCGATGTGATTCTAAAACTGTAGAAAGCAGGCCTCCTAATGTACAGCTGTTCCTTATGTTACAGATCGGGGATGCCCAACTGATGGCCCAGATCTGGCTGAACAAATTTATGCTGTCCCAAATATTAATGACGGTGTTTTTTTAAATTGTCCATAAAATCATGTTTCCAAGATGTTAAAAATTAAATATTCTGCCCATAACATCAAAGACAGACATAATATGTTTCAGCAGATTTATCTGTGTTTATCCTACTCCTGTGTGTTTTGTTAATCTTGTGTGTCTTTAATTCTTGAGCATTTTAAATTCTGACCACTTCTAGAATGGTCATTTGTGTATTTACATCTGTGTATTAAGTTTGTTAACTGGGACTGTTGTAATTTTTGTCCTTGCAACCTGGTTGCTGTTCTGTTGGCTGCTTTCAGTGGTATAGAAATGTTTAAAATAAATAACTTGAGGTAGGCCTTCTGTCTGGACCTCTGTCAGTGGGGTTTCGAACAGCTTCCAGCAGATGTGGCAAAATACCCTTTAGGACTCTGATAACCTGCCTAGAGGTTAAACTGGCCCCTAAATACAGAGGTGGGTGATCTGCTGCAAAGACAGCCATGCCACTTTTCTCTTTCAGCTCTTCTGAATGGAAGGACCGTTACTTACTTTTAATTGCCTTCGCTTCCGTTGCCTTTTCGTGCTCTTTGCTTTTCACTGCAAAACACAAAAATGGCAATGTTAGGGATCTACTGGGAAGCTACGTGAAATGCCAATGGAAATAAAACGTTAAGGTGCACCAGCTGCCCGTTCCAAAACTCAAAAGGCCTCTGAATGTGAGAAGCTGCTTTATGCTGAGTCCAACCAATGGTAGGAGGGCCTTCGGCTCAGACGTCTTCAGCCTCCTGGCTGCAACCCTGAGGTGGACCGTGGAGCCCTTCCTGCAGTGTCATAGGCTTGAAAGAGGTTCCTTTTGTTTCACTGCCTTTTGGAAGGACCTGCTGAGTAGAAAACAACAGGCCTCTCTTTGCACGCACACTAAGAAAAGCAGCAGAACAAGGTGAAGTCAGCTCAGTGATGATGGGACTCCTTTGTGGCTGTGGCCCTTGGCTCATTTCCCCCCCATGGGACACTTCCTGGTGCTTGGCTTGCACTTCCTGTCCTCAGCTCTTTCGGTCTGCAGGCCAAAGTCCTGGCCTTGACACTGGTGAGGTCATAACTCAGTCCCCTCCTCTTCCTTCACATGCCTGCAGTGGGTCAAAGGCCTGGAAAGGTTGGAAGACTGCTGCTTGAACTACAGATGCCAGGGATTGAATCTGGGGCCTTATGCCATTCAAAGCATGCGTTTGACTACAGAGCTATGGACCTTTCCTTGCCATTGGGAAGAAAGAGAGAAGTGGAGCCAAACAGGCAGGACAGGAATCAAGATAATGAAGAGGTACAATTTGCTACTGATCTGACAGCAACCACACTTTGAAGAATGGCAACTGCCACTTGGCCCTTCCTTGACCTCCATTAATACCATCCGAGAGCCAGTTTGGAGAAGTGGTTAGGAGCGTGGACTCAAATCGGGGAGAACCACGTTTGATTCCCCACTCCTCCACAGGCAGCTGCTGGTGTGACCTTGGGTCAGTCACAAGTTCTCTCAGAGCTTTTCTCTCACAAACAGTTCTTGAAAGAGCTCTCTCAGTCCCACATACCTCACAGGGTGTCTGTTGTGGGAAGAAGAAGGGAAAGGAGATTGTAAGCTGCTTGGAGACTCCTTCGGGTAGTGAGGGGCAGGGTATAAATCCAATCTCTTCTCTTCTCCTTTTACCACTTTAATGCAAGGACAGGGAACTGAAACAGCCCTGCTGCACTACTCTTTGTGGCAAGGGAGAAATAAACAGGGCAGTGCTATTAGGGCAGTGCCTCCTCCGAACCTTGAAGGACAGGAGAAAGAGCATGTGAGAAAAGCCACCTCACTGCCCTGTTTATTTCCCCCAATGGTTGGATACTACATGCAGGCAGGTCATAGTGCAAATGAAATGAAGTTCATAATTTTATACTGTCAACAAAAAAAGTCCTTCCAACAACTAAATATTGAACAAATCCTTTTGCAAACAGAAACTAGATTCATTTACAATTTAAAGACATATCATCCTTATGGTATGAATCAGAGCATGGATTTTACACCTTATATCAATCAATGATAGTTGCCCAAATGAAATCTAAATATGTTGTTCTAAGTGATGGAGTTAAGTGCACTTGTTGCTTCTTGATTCTTGAGCAGTTTTGTATGGTACTACGACCTTTTAGACACTTCGCCTGTGTTGCTGCAGCCTGAAATGGGGTATAAATTAAGGCGTAACACATGGCAGGCTAAGGACCCTTAATCCTCCTTGACTGACCATTCTGGCTTAGTATATGCCAGCTTTTGAGATTGGGGTGAGTTTTCCTTGCAGCTCTGAACTTTTCAAATATTTATATCCTGTATTGCATTCTCACTTGTATATGTTTTGAATTTGCATTCAGTCCCATTACAGCCATGCTTGAATAAGGATTATTCGAAACTGCCTGTCAGGTGTATGAGGGGGAGCAAGTTTGAAGCCACGGGGAGGCTGGGCCAGCAGCTTTGCTTCACCTCACAGGCGGTTGGCCACTCCTGATTTCCTCAACTGTCATTAGCTCTCTGGAGTCCCCTGTAACTGTTGTTTTTTTTTAAACCTCAGAACACTGAGCTCTGCAGCTGACCAGTCAGAGAGTGGGGGGTGCAAGGAGGCAGTAGCCTGGCAGCCGCATAGGAATCAATGGGGGAGCACATTTTACCCCTTTTGACCCCCTTAGGGGATCGAATTTCTAAAACTCCCTTCTTAGTGAGCACCTACGTCATGGTAGGAGCGCTCTCCTCGAATCTGGTGTTTCTAGGTCCAGCAGTTTGGTCTGGGCGTTGATTTTACGGTCAGGGGACTTTCTTTTATATATATAGATGACTGCCTAGTGACTTCATGGCTGAGGTGTGATTTGAACTGGGGGCTTTTGCTTCACCCCCACAGCCACTAGGGCCACACCAGGCCTCATAGAGGGAGCAGCCTTCTTCACTAACAATAACCCTGACGTGTTTTGGCCCTGAGCTGCATTCTTTGAGCGTTTTTTAACACTTTCTGATCAGATCGATGTAGCCTCTCACTCATTGCCCAGTTGGAAACACCAACACATATGCTAAGCAGCATATTACAAAAACTACCCCTGCCTCTGTCACAGGTGAGCACAAGTCAATTACATTTTAAAATGCAAACAAACAAAAAAGGTAATTGCCTCAAAACCACAGGTTACCACAACCATCTAAATGCTAATTTCAGCCACCTGCTGCTTTCAGTCTCCTGCCTAATCAGGAAACCCTTTGGATCTCGACTGCCAGAGGGGTGCCCCCCATCATCTCTGGTAGCAAACAAAAACCAGGAGTGCCGGGAGGGCACCTTACAGGCCACCCCACTGATTGCTGGCAAAGCTTTCACCATCAAAGGCAAGTGGGGCTGCCCTCCACAAAAGGTTGTGCCATGAGGAATGCAAGTCTTTTCCGATGTCCCGAGACTCCTTTCTGTTGTTCTTGAAGAAAAGAAGCTTAATTTTTAATGTTTGGGAGGGGCGTGAAAAGGACACCATTTTTCATTTTGAAGAATGAAGTCCAGAACAAACCTTGGGTAGTAAATCGGCAAAGCTGCTGATTTCCCATCACCTACCCATCTGACTCATGGAAGCTCACATTGAAAGAGATCTTGTTAGGCTTTAAGGTGCCACTGGCATTTTGTTTTTTACCATGACAGACTAACATCACTACACCTTTGCAAAGCTCAGTGTAGTCATTGGGTTAAGGGTCGTAATACCTTCCAAAGCATTTGAAGCCTTTTGCCGTGTTCACTTCATAAGCTGGTACAGACATTTCATCTGACCCAAAGAGAGATGGTCAGCAAGACAGCCCGCTCAAAACAATTCTGCTGCTCCCAACAGCAAGCTCTCCTCTCCCTGTATGTATCATGGGAACATGTCAACCTGTGTTGCTTCATATGACTGGCTGCTGGAGGCCGGGAATCTAACTTGCATGTAAGTGCACAGAGGTTACAGTCCTACCAGGGTAGATTCAGGTGGGTAGCCATGTTGGTCTGAAGCAACAGAACAAAGTTTGAGCATGCACACAAAAGCTTATACCCAGAATTGAACTTTGTTGGTCTTGAAGATGCCACTGGACTCAAACACTAACCCTACCAGGGATTTCATCAGCCTGCCCACCTATACCTGTATGACAGCCATCGATAGCTTGAAGGAACCTACTTTTCTATTGCTTCCCTTCTTGGTTGCATAGAGGGGATTCTTAGGCTTAGACTGAATGCAGTGTAGCCCTTCAGGCTGCAGCTGGTGGATGCCAGTTCTGAGCGTTCCACTGCAAAGACAGGTAGCAGAAAACATTTATTCCCCTTCTCTTTGTTGTGCTTTTTTAAAATTTGCAGAGGAACATTCCAGAAGGCAATTAAAAGCTGTACATTCTACCACCTCGCCATTCCGATCTCCTGCACGTGTTAACCAGGTTTACTCATTGCAGATGACAGCTGAGTGGCTATTCAGAGCCTTGCAATGTGCGTGGAGGGGCAAGAAGTTGACAGGGGCCTGCCCAGCAGCCCCATTTTGAGGTCAGCTCCTCTTAATATCAACAGACTCGTTCACGAGACCAGGCTTAACCATACCAGCCTCTTCCTTATCTATGCCAAATTATTTCCCTGATGTTCTACCTTTCTACATCTGTCAAGCTGGATCATGTACCACTGGCAAACACACAATGATTCTGAGTGAATTGGTCAGGAAAAATAATGTCCCAATAAATCTGTTCATCTTTAATGGTGCTTTCACACATGCTAAATGATGCACTTTCAATCCACTTCAGCAACTGTTTGCAAGTGGATTGTGCCATTTCACACAGCAAAATCCAGTTGCAAAGTGCATTGACAGTGCATTATTTAGTGTGTGTGAAAGTGCCCTAAGATGTGACAAGTTTCTTCATAAATACAAAACACACACACATGCTGTGGATTTTCAGCCATGTTCCTGCACTATTTTGGGAGCCTTAATCTGCGTGCAGTAATATGGCTTTTTGCTGTATACAACAATTTTTCCACTACAAGGGTGTGACACAGTCGTTGAATTCTTAAGCAACTGCATCATCTTGTGAATGACACCAAGTAAAATGGTCAGGTATTTGTTCATTGAATGATACCCTGAATTTTTCACTGGCCCAGTTGAGAGAGCTACAGTCTCCCACTGCAAGAAGAGAGCCTGCTAACGGTGGTAGAAACACAGCCCTTTCCACAGAGCTTTGCATAATTAACTGGTGAGGGCGGACTCGGACACCAAGCGGCTGACGGGGAGGGAGGAGGCAGACCTGGGAAGACAGACTTGCTCAGGCTTTCTGCTCGGAATTCAAAACATTTTCACAATCTAAGTGGTGCTTGAACTAGATGCTCTTCAGGGCTGGGACAACGCATTCCTTCTTCACTTAATAAACTGCCTTTCGCAGGAAGCCAGAATCAGCCGCAATGGTGTGTCTTCTTTAGTATTCCTCTAGTTAGCTGATAGTCTATCTTCAGTCATGAAATGGGGAAAAAAGCCAAAATACAGAGCATCCCTAGCTTGTTCACCTGAGCAAGGTCAGGGGAGGTGAACTGCTCATTCACCAGCAGCTCAGA